TCCATGCCTTTCGCTGCTAACCACACTGCTGATGTTGTGGCTAGAATTGCTTGCAGCTACAACATACTGGCTAACTTCTGAGATGGGAGACTCTTAAGTTCCACCCGCAAGTCTTGCATTTCTTCATATGACGTGCCTATAAGACCCTGTTCCGCTCATCTTTTGACTATTGTGGCAAACGGGTATTTCTTAACCCTTTGTCTAAGAAAGTCGGTGCCCACTTTTGACTTATATTCCACCATGGCTACCATTCTGCGCTTCTCCGCACTAAACCAACCCACTGTTTCTGGATTTATACCAAGAGAAGTGAGTGGTTGTCCTTGCACTAACAGTTTCCTCCTTATTGGGATCAAAGGAGTCCTATTGCTGGCTATAGGCGGCGTGACCAGTACTTCCTGCAGTTCTGCCATAGAATCCAATTTTTCCTTGTTACCTTGGTATATTTCGTTTGTATAGGAAAAATCCTCAGACTTGTGTCACCTGCATCCTTCAAAGCCTCCATCCAAAGCAGGGCCTACAACGTGCCATATGTCATACTCCCCTTCTTCATCCCACTTCCTTACCCATAGCCCCTCATCAAGTATAGGAGGCGATCCTAAGTGTAACGAAGTTGCCTCTACCAAGAAAATTCGGGAACGCCTTCAACTTTTTTGTCGATTAGCATGCAGAATTCGCTTCCAACTATCTGAAATAGCATCTGTCAATTTTTGCAGTTTATGTTGAATGCCTCTCACTCTTGGCAATGTCTGTTTCAACTCAACGACCTCTATCCAATCCAGCTTATTCTCATCCCAAATGTCCCTCACCCTAACTACTCCCTTTTCTATCCAACTTTTACCAAAATGACCCACAAAACCATTCGCTAGAAAAGTATTAGTCCCTTCTTCTTTAATGTGAGGATTTTCAAACAGAATTTCAAGCAGCACGACGTCCCTTGAGGTTGGATGTTCCCTCTCCGTTGGAATGAGTTTTTTCCATGCTTTCAAGATATCACCCCATAACTTTGACTTTAGTTGCTTGTTCACATATGACGGTATCATTAAGCAAGTCAGAGCGTCTTCCTGCCTATATCTGCAGACCCAGCGCCAACCAAGGTTCATTGTGTAAGGAAGTTAAGGCCTTGATTGGCCATTTTGCCAGCAGAGCTTGGTTCTGTTGTCTAGGGTCAAGGATCCCAACCCCCCCCCTGGTGTCTTGGGAAGGTTATAGTCTCCAAGACTACCTTCGACATATGACCTTCATGCACTTGTGCCTCCGGTTTTCAAATGAAGCGTCCTGCTGCTTTTCTTCTGATACGTTTGATCCCCCAAATAGTGAACCGCCAGCGTGAACCAAAGAATCGAACGTGCTGCTGAAGTTAAAACCAAAGCTCGCCCCAACAAGGATAAGTGTCTTGTATGCTTCCAAGTCAGAATCCTGCTGCAGTATTTCTCTACCAAAATTGCATCTTGGTACTCTGAGTTATCCGATTGTGAGACTTGGACACCCAAGAAACGTTCTGAAGCATCCGCGGGAACAACTTTCAACCCCCAATTCACTCCAAAATTATAGGAAGGTGGTAAAAAATACGTTGACTTATTCCAATTAATAGAGGCCTCAAATAGGTCGCAATACTCGTTTAATACTCTCATTAAAGTTCTTAATTGCTCTTTCTTGTTTTGACATGCAATGGTTAAGTCATCGGTCAGAGCCCCACCTTTCCATTGGAGTCCCGTTTAAGTTTCAATCCTTGTATTTCTGAGTTCCAGGGGATGTTATCCAGCAGTATTTCTAAATAAACTACGAATAACAGCGGGGCTAAAGGGCAGCCTTGTCTTAAGGAACGAGTGAGGATGAATTCATTTGACTGTTTACCATTCACCATTACTGTGGCTATAGACCCCGAATACATCGTTTTTACCCATTGGCAGAAAGGGAGCCCAAAACCCATGTGCTTCAAAGTAGTCATCACAAAGGCCCAACCCACACGGTCATACGCCTTTTCCATATCCAATAGAAAAGTTGCCACGTCAAGGTTATCTTTAGTGATGATTTCCAACGCCTGAATAGTTGAAGCTATGTTATCCATAATACTTCTGTGTTTTACAAAGGCTCATTGTTCCTTACCAATAAGGTCCGGTAGGTACCTAGCTAAACGTATTGAAATGACCTTAGCCAACAACTTATACGAGGCGTTTAACAGTGAAATTCGTCGCCAATTACGAATCTTTTTTTTATCGCCTTTCTTATATAACAATGATATGATTCCCTTAGACATGTTTTTTGTCAATTTTTCCCCTGTTAAAACTTGGTTGAATATACTGAGCAACATGGGGCCCAATTGAGGCCACAAGGCTAAATAAACTTCAATTGGTAGACCGTCCTCCCCTGGACATTTCCCTTTCGCCATCCTTTTAGCAGCTACTAGCGGTTCTTCCAGTGTCAGTGGTTTGTCTAGATCCAGTCGCGCGCTGTGGGGTAGAAGTTTTTGATAACGATTCCCAAAAGTACTTGTGATTTTTAAATCCATGTCCATCTCATCATATGGGCGATGCATAGTAAAGATATCTTCGAAGTATAATCTAGCATATTCGCACATCTGCTGTAAATCGTTGGATACTAAAAGTTGGGTTGAAAAGGGGTGTGAAAGTTCTTTGATTGGGGGTGGGGCTTTTTGTAGGATTAAACGTCTGAATGTTTCCTTTGTAAGTCTATCCCCAGTAGTAATATTTCTCTGGTCAAGCCATTCCTTCCACTGCATTTGGTCATGAATATGCATCTGTTCCAGTTTGACCAAGCTTCTTCTTCTCACTATTGTCCAATAGACATCTGATACATCATCTTGCCCGAAATTATCTTCCGCAAGTTTAATCCTTTTTATTATAGATTTTTCCTCATTTTTCATTGATTGCGCCTTAATTTGTGAGAACACATTGAAGGGCCGTTGCACGATGTGAATGCCCTCTTCCAGACAGTCTTGTTCTACGCTAAATAGTTCTCTGGCCTCCGTCCACAAAGCCAACTGACGTTGTGCCCATAGTATTACTCCCAGATCTTTTAATAAGGAAACATTCAATTTGTAGTAGGAAGGGCCCCTTTTTGGAACTTCACAAATGTGAAATACTGCTACTACAGGTCTATGATCCGACATATCCGACATGACTATTTCTACCGAAGTACATTCCTGCCACGAATGACCTTTCATCAAAATAAAGTCCAACCTTCTTTGAGCTGGCGTTGTCTTAGACCCAAGCCACGTGTATTCCTGAGCGTTCGAGTTCAGTACTCTATAAGCATCCACCAGGTTATTAGCAATCATGAAACTCTGTAAAAGCCTGCTATCAGGTCCGATGGGGCCTACTTTCGGGCTGTCCAAACCTGGGTTCAATATAGTGTTCCAGTCCGCGGCAATAATAAGGTTGTCAGAATCCGGAATAATTCCGGGTAATTTAGATAAAAATTTCAACCTTTCGGTATAGTCTGTCGGAACGTCACGGTAGATCGACATTACTGACCATTCCCTAGATCCCACCTCAAACTTCACCCACACCCAACGCCCCCACAAGTCAACCGCTGAGTCTAAAATCACAGCATTTAAGTCCCTGTGAATGAGTATTGCAGTCCCACCTTTTGTGCCTTGAGTCGACGACCAAAATTGTTGGCCGGCTCACCAGTTCTCAACTTCACTACAACGCTTTTCATCTAATTTGGTTTCCTGTAAACAGGCCACCTGGATTTTTTTCCATGAATCCAGGATTTTAAACGGTTTCGTTTCTGTTTATAATTCGTGTCGCAGAGACCCCTTACATTCCATGAGGCACATCTCAGCTTGCCTCTAAGAGGCATGTGCAAAGGCATTGCAAAAACGGCCTTTCAAGAAACCTTCCGATCTCCCTTGCAAAAACGGGGTTTGCAGGCAGGCGAACAAGAGCGCTCTAGTCGCCTTCGCCTGACGACTACCTGACAGCTCGTGAAGTGCATTTTCAAGAGTGACGCGGCAAGAGTTGTGCAGCGACGACAACTCTTGTCGCTTGCAAGAGTGACATCTGACAGCTCTTGACTCACGAAACTGGCGCCGAGTTCACGAGTAAGTGCAGCGGTGCGGCGCTCATGTAAATGCTCTTTTCACGAGTAGTGCAGAGAGGCCCTTGCTCTTAGCCAAAGTGATATACAGAATTGAAATTAAAAAGAAAAAACAAAAAAAAAACAACTGGTCCCCAGAGCCACGCGAATACGGTCGTTCGCACGAACGTAGGCCAAGAAAGATGGCCTTGGTTCTCGTGTGCCTCGGTCCTACCCGTAGGATCATTCGGCGTATCAATCTGACGGCAGAGGCGTCACTTCCCGCCTTCGCGGGGCCGGGTGGCTTACAATCCACGAGCTCACCCTCACGCAAATACAACACACAAGTACGACAAACGATGGTAATTGCCAACTTGCCGGGGCAAGGTCCCACTTGCACGGATTACGAGAATCTTGCCGTTGATCTTTGCTATCTACGGTCAATATCGCTTAATCGCTTAATTCGTGTAAGTGGGACCTAGCCCCCGATGTATATTGCGATCTTTCTTGTTTGTGAACATGCGGTCACCCTTGCTCTACATTTCGTGAGTGGCGAGGCGGGGATCTGCTTGTGGGATTTGGGCGCTCACGCATTTCCGTTATTCTGGCCGAAATTGGCAGTGGCGAGGTACAGTGGCCGACGTGGCGGCATATGATAGGCGCTCTTCTACCTCACATGCCTCTGAGGGAAAGCGGGGTTTGAATTCGCTCCGCCTTCCAGCCTTTCAAACAAAATGGTTTTGCTTCCGCCGCCGGTGGCACGAGCGCGGGCTTGTGCGGCCGAGCGCCGCGGGCCGAAGTGCGCTCGGCACGCGACGAGCACGACTCGAGCACACGCCTGCATGTGCCCACACTCGCCCGAGCACGCCATAGCGGGCCGGTGCCACGGCGCCGAAACATGCCGCCATGCGAGTGACACGGCGCTCGCGAAGCGGCGGTCCTCGCCGGCGGGATTGCCGCGTTGCCGTCCTCTCGTCTTCTCTCTCGCAAACCTTCGCGGGGCGGGCGCACAGTCCGGGGGCAGTTGTATCATCAGTGCTGCTTGTGCTCTGTTTTTTCACACGCGTGTGTACATTGTCACAAACCTCCTGACTGATGCTTTCTCGCCGCCTGTGTGCATCTCTGCCCTCGGCGGGCATGCACGCCTCTGTCTGTCGGTGTGTCTGTTCTTATACACGTGTTACCCTTTCCGTACCAGTCAATCCACGTGTCAAGCTCTCGAGAAGAAATCTCGTCGCGCAGGCCATCGTGCGTGCTGCGCGTGCGTGTCATCATTTCGCTCGTCTGTCCGACATCTACCCCAGGTGTTTTTTGCTTATTGAGTCTCTCTCTCCGCGAGTCTCTCGCTCTCTGCGAGTCTCTCCGCGAGCTGGCGCAACGCGGCCGCCTTCCGCAGCCTCTCTTGTGGTCGATGAAACGGTCCTCCCTTCGGTATTGACCAAGGAGGCTGTCGGCGGGCGGGTTGGTGCGGTGGAGCGAGAGTGGAGTACGCAGTACCTACCTACTTATATTTCCACAAGCGCGCCAATAGAGTCTCACAGTAAGTCGGTTCATCGTCCAGCAGGTGAGAGAGAGAGCGAGGAGCTGAAGGGACGCACGTGAACGAAAGCCTGAAGAGGAGAAGCTGGCAGGAGGAAGAAGAGGAAGGAAGAAAGAGGAGAGGGAGAGACACAAAGTAGGTAGAGGGAGAGGGAGAGGAGACGATGGTGAATGATGTGTCTTGACTCTTTTGTCGTTCTTGCACTCATCATTCACACGGCTCGTACCTAAATTCGTACGCGTGACACCCTGTAGTGAATATGGTCACGAAGTAGCAGTTCTCTCTATCGGAATGCCCCCCCTTGATCGGTTCGGTAATCGCACTCGTAACCAGAGTTAACGCACTCGTAACCAGAGTTAACGCACTCGTAAAAACGCAGTTTGCTCTTTGAGAATGCCTTTCCCATCCACTTCTTCCGTACCGAAGGGAAGGAGGTGAAGGGAGAAATGGCCCCCTTTGATCGGTTCGGTAATCGCCTGCGCTGCGGACTCAGCCGCGCATGATAGCTTTTTGAAGGAAGATGAGGTGACGTGGATTGCAGTGAAGTTAAGTGATAGGGGCTGCTGCCGACCCATCTCCTCCTCACTAACTTCGCTGCAGCTTCTGATGTGGTCAATGATTGGTCAATGATTGGTCGGATGATTGGTCGGATGTTTGGTGGGATTGCAGGAGAGCGCATTCGTTGCGCAATTTGACCGACACTGCCTGCCCATCGCGTGTTATAGTGTGCTCGTTCCTACCTCCAACTCTTAGCACTCTTCCGTTTAATACCTGGTAGCGGCGGAAGTAGGTGGGTGAGCAAAAGCACAGGGTATCATCGGGAAGGGAGATGCCGGTAATCAAAATGGAAGGAGTTATGGTTTCGCGCCTTGGCTTGCCGATGGACATTGCGGCGGTAGCGGTCTCTTCAACGCTGGCGGCGGGAGGTGCAGGGTGCTCTGACGTCCTTTGTGATAAGAGAGGCTCGACAATGGTTCCGCGTGCAGTAGTGTCCAAGTGGGATTGCCATGGAGGAGCTGCCGCTGGTGACAGATTCTCCTCCGCGGCTTTCTCCTTGACGTCATCATCTATGCCCTCCACCTCGGTGCCGAAGGGAATTTCCACGTGGCACCCGGTGAAGAATTGTGGACTCTGTTGTTTTGGGTGGTCGGCTTCGGATTGGGAACGGTGAGTCAACCTCTTACATAAATTACATAATATTTTAATAATACTTTTTTGG